ACCCGTCGAAGCCTGAAGATGCTGAAAAAAGTCCCGAAGACCCCGAAAGGTTGCGGCTTGGGCTTGGCCGTGCCACTGCGCTGACTGCTGCTGTAAGCACAGACAACACTGGTCAGCTGTGCTCCCCTCTCACTTCGCATGGTTTAGAATGGCACAGAGCCGCTCAAAGCGAAGCCTCGAGCCTTGATGAAACCACCCCAAGACGCACCCAAAAACCCAAATCCGCGCCCAGAAAAGCCGGAGGAGGCCGGGGGTCTCCTCGCGCAATCTTTGGTTCTCCTCCTCGAGTGCATGGGAGCGCTCCGTGCCTCAGGGGCCATTGCAGCAAAAGATTGAGGCGGCCCTTTACCAAGGGCCCCTGTTTTTGGGGTGCCTCTAGGGCTTTTACGAGGCTTACGAGGGGAGGCCTGCAGCAGAATCTGCGGCGCTGCCGGCACTGCCTGTTCGCTGGAGCGACCTGCGCAAGACCGGCAATTGGAGCCTTGCATAGAGAGGCGAAGCTGAGGTCAAGCCACAAGGGCCGCTTTTTCTCGCAGTCTGCGCCACACTTTCATCGCGACTCTGGCACTTGACCAGTCGACAGCCTGCCGGGATCTTCGGATGCATTGTGCACCACCAGCTTCGATCAGGCATGTGGCGAGAATAAATGAGAGTGTTGCACAGGTCGGCGGAAATGGCGGTCGAGGTTGAATGCACAGTGTCAGACTATCACGTAACGAGATGCTCATGCAGAAAACCTTTGCAAGTGCCACGGAGCTGCGAAAAACATGTTCGGCGGCAGAGAGCATCGCGGGGTGAAGCGAAGTGTCTCCACTCAAAGATTATGAAGATACAATATGCTGCAATCGAAAAGCAATGACTAGCACAGTCTTTGCAACCCTGCTGCCCGACATGTGTGGAGCAGTCCTGCGCAAACTTGTAGATAAAACTACTTCCGGATGCTTCTGCAACCGGTGAGCGGTAAATCTTCCGCGAACGAACATTGCTGCAGCCCTTCGAGCTCGCAGGGCACAGGATTTCGATTGGAAACTCATGCACGAGGCTCAGCCTCAGGCCCCGGCTGCAGCCTCCCTCAAGCGGGCGAGGAGGAGCTGCAGGATTTGGGGATGGTTCCTACGTGCCGCCAGGCGCAGGGGCGACAGCATCTTCCCTGCTGGCTCAGGCGTTGGCCAAGCGCGAGCGGCCAGCAAGGCTGCAGCTACCTCGAGGTGTCCGCTGTGAGCTGCCAGGTCCAGAGGTGTCGTCGTGCCGGAAGCTGCACGGGTCGGGTCGGCTCGACTCTGCAGGAGCAGCAGCACCATGGAAAGATGCCCAGCATATGCTGCATCGTGTAGTGGCGTGAATCCACCACTGCTGTCTCGCACATCTAGGACACTTCCCTTCTCCAGCAGCAATGCCACCGTTTCTGTGTGACCATGTCTTGCCGCGCCGTGCAAAGCACTGGAGCCATCACCTGCAGTGCATGATGGATCTGCACGCGCTGCGATCAGTGATGCAACTGCCTCAGCACGACCCATGTTCGCAGCACTGTGCAGGGGTGTAAAGCCATCGGACGTAGCTGCATCAACAGTCGCACCAGACTTCAGCAATGCCTCCACAACTTTAGTGCTCCCCATCTCGGCCGCGACGTGAAGAGGCGTAACTCCCTGCTGACCGCTGTCAGATGCTCTGGCAAGAGGAGTGATCGGAGTTCTTGCGTCGGAACTCCCAGCACCGACACCAGTCTCCACAGAGTGCACCGAGTGTGGCCCGCAATCTTGTGCACTGCGAAGTGGGGCGAGTTCAACAACTGGCTCTTGCTCAGCCAATGCCTGCAAGTTGAAAGATGAAACATCCGCATCGGACGAGGTGACCTCACGCACCTGTTGCTCCATAGACTTAGGTCCAGATAGTCCCCGGGAGTTGTCCTCACGACAGTCTTTCAGCGATGCAACTGCATCAGCACGACCCATGTTCGCAGCACTGTGCAGGGGTGTAAAGCCATCGGACGTAGCTGCATCAACAGTCGCACCAGAATTCAGCAATGCCTCCACAACTTTAGTGCTCCCCATCTCAGCAGCGACGTGAAGAGGCGTAACTCCCTGCTGACCGCTGTCAGATGCTCTGGCAGGAGGAGTGATCGGAGTTCTCGCGTCGGAACTCCCAGCACCGACACCAGTCTCCACAGAGTGCACCGAGTGTGGCCCACAATCTTGTGCACTGCGAAGCGGGGCGAGTTTAACAACTGGCTCTTGCTCAGCCAATGCCTGCAAGTTGAAAGATGAAACATCCGCATCGGACGAGGTGACCTCACGCACCTGTTGCTCCATAGACTTAGGTCCAGATAGTCCTTGGGAGCTGTCCTCGCTGCAATCCAATGAAAATGGAGAGCTAACCGGGGTCAAAACATGGCGCCAGCCGCGCGTGTGTCCCTCCGATTCAGTTTCACTGGTGGCCGGCCACTCATACCCGGCCTTCGGTTCCTGACAAGCTTCCAAGTCCCAGAATTCTGGCACCGTCTGTCCGGAATCCGGCGAAATGCTGGGTCTTCCCAAACAAGCGCAGGGGCCTTCTGAAGCTTCTGCGAGCCTGGGCACTGCGAAGTTCCGAGGGGCTCGAGTCTTGGGCAGAGTTCTTCACTTTGCCTCGGCAGCGTCGGCCTTGCAGAGGGCACTTCTGCCGCGCAGTGCACGCAGGACAAGGAGGGGTCGGAGAGGACCACTTGGATGATGACCGGGTAGCCGCCGGGTTCAGACACCGACTCCCATTCCCAAGGTGCGGTCTCCTCGCCGTCACCATCCTCTGGGAATGGCGAGGCCATGCAACGAATTTCGGAACCTTCCTTCTCCGAAGCCTTCGGCTGCATCTGCATTGATAATTCCAGGGCCGACACGGACCCATTCCCATGCAACAACGGTCCATCATAGGGTGCCATTGAGCCGCCATCTGATGGAGATTCCTCAGCAGACCGCTGCATGCAGAGTAAGGCAAACCAATCTGTGGCAGCACCAGCCCAAACCAATGCCAAGAGGCTTCTGTACAGGTCCTGACGACGAAATCGAGAGCCTGCAGGGCAGGCAGGCTGAAATTCGTGATACCTCTTAACCAAGGCCACCACGGCGCCACCAGACGTTCTGGTCCCAGCTATGGCTTTGATCTTACCTTCCTCCTTGGGCCTACGTTGCCAACACCACCTCAAACCTTCGGAGTGTGTCTGTGTCTCCGTCTGTCTCTGTGTGCGTCATATACAACCAAAACTGAGGTACCGCCCGCTTCGTCGGCCTCGTCATCTCTGTTGGCCATCGGTTCGGATGAGGCCGAACTTTGCGCTTTGCAAGGTGTGGAGCCTTGGAGGCTGTCCACACTTGCGAGCTTCGGCAGCTGGAAAATCTCCCGGATTCATACTTAACTTGTTGGGTAAGGCCACCTGTTTCAGCAAGATCCCCAGTGAAACAGCACTGTGCGAGCTTGAGAAGCGGTGCAAACAAATGTCTAGAGCCCCACAACACGAGCAAGCAACGACTCATGCTCGAATGCGACGTCGGTGTGGCCACCTCTGGAATCACAGCCTCCCAGAAACACCCGTACAGAATCATGCAAAGCAATGCAAAGCAACTGCCACTGTGGCTTGCAGCAGCCTGGGGAATCATTAGATCCTGCCGGCTGGTCCAAGCTGACTCACCAGACACCTGCCAATGAGGATTGCTCGGCTGGCAGATTGCTTTACTGCCTCCACCGAGCACAGATAACGCTTGATTCCCACGATGAGGGATGCCATGATAATGCCAGACTGACCAACGACAGGCCAGCAGTCTATCAATTGCCGGAGCTACGAAAAAATGGCATGCAGGCTAAGGCCACGGCAGTGGCCGCACACGGCACAGCGAGGCTAGCTTTTGGAGTTTCGGTCCCGTCGGCGACCTCCACTGCTTTAAGAAGTCTTCGGGGTATCCTTAGTGTATACTATTACATAATATGGCACACTAGAGTCTATACTAATGTACTAGAATGTAATTTAGCAGTATACTATAGTAGGGAAGGGTTGTTGAAGCTCTGTCCGTAGATTTGCGGCTCCGTGGTATGACGAGTGAGTCTGAGTGTCAAAGGCAAATACGACTTGCGGGACTTGGAATGGATTTGTTGCTTTCACGGAGAGCTTTCGGTTTAGATCCTGGCTAGTGGATTATAGTGGATGGCCCAGACTTTTCAACAAGGTAGCAGTCCAGAAAGGGCTCTCCCACAACCACATCCTGAAAGGGAACCCTAAACCCCAAACCCTGAACACCTGCCTTTCGACAGCTCCCAATGCTGTGGCGATGTGCCACCTGCGGACCGGATTGGGACAGGCAAAGGTTGGCCCTTGCTTACTGTACCACAATAAATCTTCTATTATGCTAGTAGAATACCATGAGGGCAGCTAGGGCATGAACATGTGATATCATCATTGTTTCACTGATGAAGATGCCATGCGGTGGACGAAGCTGCTATCTGGCAAAGCTAATCCTCCCACGTTTGAACAATCGGTGCTCAAGAAATCGATTTGCAAACTTACGGCGTTGAAAATCATCGCCGTTTGCTTTTTGCAAAGCGAAGTGCGAGACGATGTGCTACGCGCTGTGCCGGTAAATGCTAGCTGCGACAAGATTTCAGCGGATCGGGTTGGAAGATCTCTTTCGTATGGCTATGTGAAAGCATTTAAAATCTCAAGACCCCGTATATCCGCGAGCTGAACATGAATCCTTCGGTCTCGCATCCTCAGAACCAAGTCCCTCAAAACGGCGGCCTCAGGAATACAAAAAGGTACTACTATTATTTTACTAATAATTTTTTGATACTACAATACTACAATACTATAACACTATAAAACGTTCATACTCTAATACCATCACACTTATAACGCTATTTCAGACCATACAGTAATGATTCCTACAAGAATACTATACGGATACAAGAACACCAGAATACTATCATGCTAAACCCTAACCCCTAAACCCTAACCCCTAAACCCTAACCCTAAACCCTAACCCCTAAACCCCTAAAGCCTTAAAGCCCTCTTTGTATCTCTTTTGCAACTCCGTTCCCACCTGCATGAGCCCCGACTGCGCCAGCGCGGATCGACCTCAAAAAGGCGAGGAGAAGGGTTGCCAAAAAGGATTTTGCCATCAAAAGTTACTAAGTTACTATAAGCATTACTATCGAAAGTTACTAAAAGTTCTAAAGATTACTATGGAAATTAAGTACTACGAAGGGATGCTAGAGGTATAAGGAAAGGGGTGCTACAAGGGTTGCTACAGGTTGCTGAGGGGCTGGCCAGTCTGTCGGACGCTGGATGTCAGTGGCCGCTTGGTCCTGCCATGGCCGAGTCGAGGGGATTTAGGATAGTGCTTTTTTATGGAAGTACTGTGGTATTGCTATAATTTGGCTATAATGCTTCCCGTGGTACGGTTTTAGTCTATAGTATTGTTCTACTGGTAGTGAGGCAGACCCGTTCTCAGTGTCTTTTGCTTCCATGTGCCCTGGCGGACGCTTTGCGAAGCGGTCCCGAATGCCGAGATCTCCGCGTTCAGGGATGACACCTGTTGGACAGGGACAAGTGACAAGCATCTCACTGCCGCAAGTGAGTTCACATGCTTGAGGGAGGAGAGGAGAGAGAGATGAAGTGTGGGGCAAATGTTCAATTGCATGGCTTTGCTCTGCTCGACGCATACATGTTCAGCCGAAGTAGCCCACTCAATGGCAGAGCCCCACGACCTGGGCGGGCACGATGGCATGAACCGATCAAGCATCTGCTGGGCCTGTGCCAGCCTTTGAAGAGCACCTGAGCCCGGTGCAGCCGATCTTCGGCCGACATCCTGTAGAAGGCGGCCTCGGGCCGTGGCGTCTCGCGCTGCTAAGCGGCTTCGCGAGCCGAGCTGAGGCCCGAGCCAGATCTCCAACGGCCTCGGCACTGCGGCGGCCATGCCTTGGAAGCACATGGCCACAGCCACCGCTCCTGTGATGTCGTCGAAGCTCGCAGTGAGTTCCACCGGCCTGCTCGTCTCCGAAGCCTTGGCACCAAACCCGCTCAAAAAAGCTGAGTTCAGGGAGGCAAGGGTGAAGAAATCAGCCGATCCGCAAAGCAGATCCGCCAATCGAAGCGCAATGTTTTTTTTTGCCCGGGCATCTCGCTGGAGGCCGCTTTCAACAAGGCGCTCACGAGAGGGTATGGACACTGCTTGAAGCTAATAAACTAGTAAGCTACTTCGGGGAATTGCAAAATTGCTCGCTGACTCTGCCTCCTAAATATTTCTTCTTGGAGCGTAGGTGACGTCATTCCCTTCCGGAGCGGCACAAGTCTGACCAGCTCTCACTCCGCGTCCTGCCCAAACCGCATCGACCTTCGTCGACGGTCGAGACCCGGACGAATACTCGACTCGACAGAGGCATGGTCCCTCTGCAAATCAAAGCCACTACAAGCGGAGCCTGGACCTAGCACAGAACCCCTTCGCAGGACTCGAGAAACCCTAAACCCCACACCCCAATAAACAAGCAAAATAATGCTAAGAATCATCATAAGATCAAGAAGAAGACAAAGCCCCACTCGAGCTGAAACCTACCCCGGCCTCGACCTCGCCTTCAGAGCCAGGGCTGCAGCGCGGGGTCCTCCGCGAGCTCCTCCAGGCTGTGCACCTGCGCTCGGCTACAGCGGGTTTAGGGTTAGGGGTTGAGGGGTGGTTTACGGTTCCAACCCAGCACATCCCAGCATCACACGCCATTCAAACTCTCGTCCATGCTTTCTGCGGAGTCTGCAATTGGCAAGTCACGGGCGAAGCGATTGTGGAAAAGGTGGAGGCTTTGTCTGTCGTCCCTCTCTGGCAGCAGCGGCAGCAGCTGACGTAGCCAGCTGCCGAACAAGCTCAAGCGAAAGGTGGCACGCCCGAGTCTACTTTGCTCAGCGCCAGTGATTCCTTTCCTTTGCTGCCGCCCGTGGTGTTGCCCTTGCTGTTGGCTTTACCCTTCTCGTTGCCGAAAATTGCCGAAACACTTGATGTTGCCCTTCGGTTTCTTTTCCTCTTTGCCCTTTCCCTTGAAGGGGCCCTGGACCAGCAACGAGCTGGTGGAGGGCAGCAGGTGGCCAAGTTGGGCATGCAGACGTTTTAACGTGCTTAAGCGCCGTTCTGTTTCACCGCGAATTTGTTGTTGCTAGCTGCCAGGCAGCGTCAGATCCTACCGTGGAGAATGAAAGATGAAAAATGTGAGTGGCGCTGGGTGGAAACCCGGTGCCGGCATGGAAGGAGTCCTCCGCTGCATGTTCCTGCTGGATCTGCGACAGCTGGCAGGCTGCAACCACCACTGGGGTGGCGGTACGAGTCCCCCCATGCAATTCGGGCCATAAGTGGACTGCTCGCCCATAAAGCCCTGTGCCAACTGCGCCCCTTGCACAGCAAAACTTACGGTTTGGGCTTACCCAAACACCGCAGGAAGCACTGACAACTCTGGGTCAGCTTTGCTCCTCTCTCACTTTACTTGGTCAGAATGATATCCGAACATGTCTATCGATGCAAATTAAGCGCTTTCCGAATGGAAGTCCACTGCCCTAATGCAACCAATTTTGCCTCAACAGCATGACCCTTCGCTGGCCTGGAAGAAATAATTCAAGAAGAGCTGATTGCACACCTGCATCCGCGGAGGGGCCGAAATCACCGACAGCATCGTGAACTCGATGCATTGCAATCGTCCAGTCGTTCTGGTGCGGAGGATGCTTCAAATATCTCTCTCAAGTTGGAAGACCTGCAAGCGCTGCAGAAGCCTTCCTCTAAAGAAACTAAAGCTCCGAACCTCCTGGGAGGAGTAGATCTTACAGCCCGAGAAGGACACGATGAAGTCCCCACGCTCGAAGGTCGAGTGCGTCAGGAGCGCGGACGACACCAGGGGCGGGTATCCTGTTTCGCGCGGAGTCATCAGTCATCGCTCTCAAAGATGCCGACCTTATAAGCCCTGAACCCCAACCCTCAACGGCTACATGCCCCAAAGACGAAAACCCCTGAACCTTGAAACCTCCCCTTTCATTTTCGTGCCCTGGCGGTCCGTTGATCGTCTTCTGGGCGACCGGCGCCCAGGCTGCGGCGAAGCCGAGCGCTGGGCCCAAAACCGCCAGGTCCTTGGCTCCGGGGCGCCGGGCCTCCGCCAGGACCTGAGAAAAGGAGTTGTGGGTTAGGGTTTAGGGTTCGAAACGGGAAGCAAGGGGTTTAGGGTTTAGCTTGAAAATGGAGGGTCCTTCAGATGTTGCATGGCTTTCGCGGAATTTGTGTAGTGTGTCTGCTCGGTGGGTTGATAAACTAGGCTGGGAGTCGAGAGGGTTCGGGCTTGCGGTCTGAAAGGGAGGCATCATTCAACCCCGAAATTGCCCCAAATCATCCACCAGTGCCAGCACCCCAGTTCAAACCATGTGCCGATCCAGACTGGTGACAACCTGCGAAAGCTAAAGGCTGCAACCATCGTGCAATCGATGTCGGTGAGAGGTGCCGCTGGTTTTTCCATCTTCTGCACAACATGATGTTGCTTTTTCAGCCGAAGCCAATCCTCGTATATCGTCAAATGATGACTCTTGAGAGGATCGTGCTTGGCATATTGCAAATCGCCCTTAGTAGCCTCTCGTCCACATCCAGGATACCAACAATGCTCGTGCTGATACGTGAGTCGCAGATCGCGCAACCTTTGCGCCTAATGCCACCGAGATGCAAACGGAAATTGTAGGAGGTATACCTTTCCACACAGAGCAATGCAGCAACGCCTTGAAACGTCCCCAACTTCCACATGTTGGGGAAGCCCGATGGTAAAGGCATGGATGTGCCGGCTCTCTTGCAGAGCCCGACAAGGTTGAGCTACCTCAAACTTCTGACGACGGGCGGCCATGGCAGTTTGTTCCCACCAGGGGTGCTGCGTTACAGGACTGCGCTCAAAGGTCATCCAGCGAACTTTCTGGAAAAACGTCCTGGGCTGACGTCATACTGAGTCCATCAGTCAAGCTTGCAACATGGCTGCTTTGGCAGGCGAGCTGCCAAGACCAGATTGAAGCACGAGCTAGCCTCAGATCATCCGGCGCAAGTGTTCGGAGCTGGGGGAGACTGGTCGGCTTGACGATCTAGCCATCCATCTGTAGGTCTGCATCTATGAAATCATGTACGTACGTATGTAAGGATGTAGCTTTGTAGGAATGTGCGTGTGTGTGTGTGTGTGTGTGTCTGTGTTTGTTTGTTTGTTTGTTTGTTTGTTTGTTTGTTTTTTTGTTTGTTTGTGTGAGTGAGTGAGTGAGTGAGTGAGTGAGTGAGTGAGATTGTGTGTGTGTGTGTGTCTGTGTGTGTCTGTGTCTGTCTGTGTGTGTCTGTGTGTGTCTGTGTGTGTCTGTGTGTGTCTGTGTGTGTCTATGT